CACCACCACCACCACCACCACCGGGAGTTGCTGTTACCGCCGCTATCCATGCTAAGCCGCTGGGAGGTCCCCCAAGCCGGAAATCGGTCCGCCGATCCGGCGGCGAAGTTCGTTGCCTTGCCCGAGCCGGCAACGGAAAAGGCAGCATACCTTTGCCGGTGGTGGAGTTGGGGCTTAGAATTTTGGGAGTTTGGGGCTGAGGGTGTTAGGGTGGCTTGAGATGACACGGCCATTTTTCTGTGACTCGTTCTCCGGTCCCAAAGCACCTGTGCGAGTCTTCTGCTAGGCTTCTACAATGCAGCATGGAGAGGAAAGAAGTTCAAGAGAGAAGGCTTACTTCTGAGGCGCCAAAAAACCATGGCCCTGACAAGGGGCACCTAAAAGGTGCGCGCAAGTAGCTCTACTTTTGGGTTCGGCGTCTGTGAGCTTGGCTGTACTAGAACGAGAGATCCCCAAGATGGGTTTGCTTGGGTAAATCTCCGCGGTCAGGGGACGCAGTAACTGGAAGTAAACTAACAACGCACAAGAGTAAGGCTCTCTATCTCTCTTTCTACCAGGCCAGAGAAGGTAGGACGTCCCCCTACCCTCTCGCACGCGTGCGCGCACCTGCATGTCCAGGAGGGTTGTTAGAGGCCCGGATGGTTTCTCTCTCTCTCTCTCTGTCTCTCTCTTTCTTTCGTCAGGGTTGTGGGCAGGGGAAGTTCCCCTACCCGCGCGTCTCTCTGTCTCTCTCTCTCTCTCTCTCGCTCGCTCTCTCCCTTATTGTATTCCCATTCAAACCGCTTTCTCGTTCTGATTGTATATCCCGACATGTTTCTTTATGCATGTTTCTGTCTGCAAAAAAAATCAGCGCCTTAACTGTGAAAACATTCAATGGGCGGACGGGCTGCATGTGACCCACAACCAGGCGCTCTCCGATGCCGTATAGGGGGCAGTCCATGTTGTAACGTCCTGTGGCGCAAGCCTTCGCAGTCGCAACAACATGCTGTCTTCTCACCCCTAAAAACAGCAAAGGAGGGTGACAGAGAGAGTGAGAGAGAGAGCGAGAGAGACAGCTTGTCCAAAGTGTACAGCGTTGCAAGCTGGGACCTTGTAGGGTGCCGTCTGGCCAGATGGAGCCAGTGGCAACTCAATGATGGATCTGCCTCCGGAGTTCCCACCGCTCGTGGCCACATACCTGACTCTCTCATGAACTCTAGAAAGTTCAACAGTGATAAAGCTGTTGCGCTCAAGGTCTCCTCAGGCCGTGGCAGCAGGCCGTGGGTCACATCCACCGCCGTGTTGTAGATAGTTTGGCCTTTCAGGCTCTTGTGAAAAGGCCTTGCTCTGCCGCTGAGGGACATGAAAGCTTGGGCCTAGATCGTAGAACTCGTAGTACACTGCACTGTAAAGCTGCGCCCACGTTGAATCGCTAGTGTCGAAAGTCCACAGTTCCGAGGTCACACTGGTGGTCTTGGTCACAATCAACTTGGTTGTGCCGGTCCAGTGGGTCACTCCGGTAAAGTGATAACCGGTGTTGAGGTAGTCTTCGGTATGGAGGTCGGTCACAGCGCCTGTCGTCACATCATACTTCCTGATCTTATACCAATCAACCAGATAGAGATTTCCGTCATTATCGATGGTCATGTCCCAATAGGCCTTGGCACCGACACCGAAAACATGCACGTGCCGTCAGCCAACGACGCGCCGGGTCTTCTGCAAACCCTGAAACCGAGCCAAGCTGCATGCCCATAACCGTCTGTTATGTTTGCGGCTGACACCGGAGTCGGCATCGCGCCGTCATCACTCAAACCACTCACATCGATGTAGTAAAGAGGAGCATCGCACGTTCTGACCACCGCACAGGCACCGGCATAGAACCACCAGTACAAACGCTGCCTAGTTTCGTCAAACGCGAGCTTCCAGCTGTATGCGGTCCACTTCTCTGGCGCAGGAAAGTCGGCACGAGCAGCCGCATAGATGAGGGAGTACTTCTGAGTGTCCACATCGTAGCGGTTCACCGCATAGACGTACGACTCATTTTCGCAGGTCAGCGGATTTGGGTCAGATCCATCCGGAGTGATCTGGTTGTCCAGAAGGTATTTGACCTCAGGCACTAGCATGGTACTGGTAGCACTGAACAACAGCACGAGTACCGGTGTCCACTAGCAACACTTTTCACAGCCTCTTCCCGAGACATTTCGAGCGCCTTCTCAAATCGTCCCGGGATCCCGCTCCCGCTCAGCCCGAGGCCTTCCAAACCGTGAGCCTTCGGCCGCTTGAGGTGGCGCAGCTGGGAGTAATCCAATAGATTCTACGGTTGGTCTTGTCCGCCACTGGTCCCACCACATGCTCACCTCTCGAAGGCTTTATCAGTTGAGGGAGCTTCAGAAGCAACTGTGAAGAACTCTGAATCAGTAGGTCGCCGACCATCCCCTTCCCCGGCAGGGTCATATGCCACGGAGATGGACGTCCGGACGGCCAGGGAGGTGCCATCTGTTGAGTTCCACCCGTTGATCAAGTAGCTCCTCAGACCAAGACTTCAAAGAAGGCACCTGAAACGTTGTTGTTTTGCAGGCTCTCCGTCAGACTTGGAGCCAGGGCACGGCTTGCAGACACTGCCATCCAAAGTGCCTGAAGCAGGTTTAGGGCTTTCAGGGTTTGGGGACTTCGGCACCAGAAACTGCCAAGCTTCGGCGACGAAGCGTCCGTGGTTCTCACACATTGAAGAGTCCGAGTTGCCGTGTGCTTCCAGACAGTACGCAAAGTCGTCATACTGAATCTTTCGGGTGCCCAGTGACGCATCTTCTCCCGTCATCATCCACAACTTGGACTCAACCTGCTCAGCACCAGTACAGACATTCATCCAGCCAGCATTAGCAAACGAAACAGAAGCACGAGATGCAGGCCAGTGACCTTGTTTTGTGAGATGAGGTCATCCACCCAAAACAGCATCTGATCTGTACACACGACACAACATGGCACACAGAGGTACAAGAGCCAGCGGACCCACATCATCGTGGTCATGCTCCGCAGGGCTCAAGCTGCTGCTTTGAGCTGAGATGGCCACGAGTGATATCGTGAGCATATGTTGAGAACACAGCCGAGAGCTCATGTGCACTTCAGCTTGAGCTAGCCCTGAAACGTTGTTGCAAATGACCTTGCACAGCCTGCAGAAAAATACATGCAGCCAACACTGCGACAGGCATCCCGGAAATCTAGGCTAGTAATAGCCGTGGCAGTAGTCGCAACATTGGCAGTACCAGCAGCAGCGGCAGCGGAAGCAGGAGCAGCAGGACGAGGAGGTAGTAGTAGCAGTAGTAGTAGCAGCAGCAGTAGGAGGAGTGGTAGTAGTAGTAGTAGTGGTGGTAGTGGTAG